CTTTCCCTTCTCTTAATTCTTTACTTTCACATAAATTATAATTATTTTTTTATTTTAAATTTGATATGATAATACAACAATATATTTTACAATTCCAATTTTTTTTGTTTCATAACCAAGAAATCATTTAAAAAAAATAAAAATTTCAAGAATATAGATTGAACTTTTATTTTCTCATTCAAATCACAAATTTAATAAAACATTGATAGTCTATTTCTGCTAGTTTGATTTTGTTTTGTTTTGTTTTTATATAAAAATTATGATAGTTTTTAAGTTGTACTTAATATATGTATTTCAGAAATCTTATCTAGTTCTAAGAATTGCAACCCTATTTTTCTTTTAAGATCATTGAATAATAAAAATTAATATGTTCAACTTGTCTATACTATTCATAATATATTTCGAGTCCAAAAAACTAAATTGATTGAATTTGTATTTTATAATATATTAAAAATTAAATTACATATAATTGTGGTAAAAATCCAACTCATTATATCCAAGATCACCCTAGAATCAGCAAGATATTCATAGGTTCATGATTCTACTGGCCATACTATTTTCCATGTGTGAGAAAAGGGAATTTCGAATTTCCTACAGATAATCTCAACCTTTAGCTTCGTCGAATTTGAAGCATTAATTAGTTATATTTATGCCTGCATCTTGTCAGCGTACACCGATCAAGCCGTTTTCCTTTCCTTATACTATCCAAGTGATATATGCATCTTGTTACGAATGAAATATTTTTATTTTTTATACAAAAATTAATATATATATATATATATATATATTAGTATATTTCTGTAGTTCAAAAAATTTAAGTTCAAATAAAGATATATATGCATATATATAATTAAATAAATCAAGAATATTTATATAAATAGATAAATAAATAAAAAGTTATTAATGATATCTAAAAATAAAATCTGAAAAAATAATATATGAGTGTATATCAAGATATTTAATCTTGAAAGATAAAATATTTATCTAATTATGCTCACTAAATTTATTTATTAAAATATTTTTTTATTCAAATAAATGATAATGAAAATAAAGAAACAAATTAAATTGATAGAATAAAATAAAAGAAATAAATAACACTAGGGATGCAAATATTAAAAATATTATTGAAAATAATTTTTTTATTTTTAAAAATAAATTTCATCCATATAGAAGAAGATAAAAAAATTATAGATAAATCAAAAAAATTCTTTAAATTTAAATACATAACTACAAACTAATTGTAATTTAAAAAGGGCCCTTCAAACAAAATGAAAGAGAGAAGGGGTATTAATTTATATACAAATTAAAAGAATTAGAGAAAAAACATAAAAAATATTAATTTAAAAAAAGAAGTAAGGGCTAAATATTACTGGGTCTAGCAAGCTAGCTTGTCCCAACCCACCTGGCCTATTTTGTTAGGGTTCACGAGGATGCTTGTGTGATTGGGCCCTCAATTTTTTTCTTTGCTTTGCATTTGGGGTTTGTCCCAAGTTTTTTCTGAAAAAATCATTTGATTTGCCTAGATTTCAACCATTGTTGTTGTTAAAAAATCAGGGTTTAGTTTTTTTTAAGAAAAAACTTATTTTCAACCTGTTTTTTACTTAAATCATTGTAGGAGTTGTAATAAACCTATCTATGACCTTAAAAAATCCAAAAAAATCTTCCAAAACTAAAATCAATTATAAATAAAAAATCAACCCAAATTCAAATCTATTTTTTCATGAATTTTAAAGATAAAAAAATATCTAATATGAACTTTTCTTATTAGATGAAATTATTTGACATAAATATCATTTATTTTGGTGGTATAAATTGGTATCAACAACACTTAGGAATCTAGCGACCGCTTTTTCTTATCTCTCAACTAGAGATTTTTAAAAAAATTATACCAACATTGAATTAAAAAAAATATTGAGGTACTAAAATTATAGGAAAATTATAGGAAACTTATGTCACGTCACTCATATTTGAAATCCTTTTCATTTCACTTTTTTTTTATCCCATCTTTTCATAAAAAATCAAAATTTAGTAGTCTTTAATTTGGACTAAGTTGCTAGAAAAAAAAAGTTTAGGTATGAAATTGAAAATACAAATTTTTTTGCATAGTCCATCTACAATTCATCTATAATAAT